ATATAAATATAAAAGGGTAAATTTTGTCCTTCAAAAATTCCAAAAATATTCTTGAGGCCATTCGTGCTTTTTAAAGTAGTATAGATATAGATTAGGAGGATGATATTAATAATAGAGGACTAGACATGTTTCCTTAGCAGGATGACTAGTGAAAGCATAATGTCACGGACCTGGACTCCTCTAGCATCTTGTGCGATATTTGGGCAGAAGTCCATCGCTCCATGAGTTAGCCTTTCCTACTTAGAGCACTCTCCTGTCTCTTGAGACCAAGTAGCTTATCAACTTGTCCCTCACACTAAGGCACACACATAGGCAACAAAGGCACAAAGCACACATGGAAAGAGAGATGAACTCAAAGAAACTCTTTGTATTGCTCAAGAGAGGGATACAACACTTGATTGCTTGGTTGAATGCAAATGAGGAAGTGATATTCTTTTATAGGCACTTCCACTTCCTTAAAGGATTTTTCTAGAACTATGTACACTTGGCATGATGTAGAAGCACCTATAGAACATTCTACCTTCTACACTCTTCTAGGGGATGCCTTCTCTATAAGATACAAGAACACTCTAGAGGAAGTCTAGATTGCTCCCAACCCCTCTAGGTTGTTTCACATAAACCCGGATTATTCTACAAGGTTCTAGAGAGTTCCACCAACATCTAGTCCCTTCTAGGCACATGGAAAATACTCTACAACACCCCCAAACGTTCCAAAACACCCTTGAAACATACAGAATTGGTTAGAAGCCTCAAGAAACATCTAGAAAACCTCTAGCCCAGCAACCCATTGTGTCACCCTGTGACATTCTCCTCCACCTGATTATGTGACGCCCTTGTTGCACTCAATTGGTTTGTGCATCCCATTGCTCGATCAACTCCTCGTGGCCGGTTGCAATAAACCCGTATGCTCGTACATATGATGCTTCTGATGCAAGCAACCCTTTCCACTTGACCGCATACTCCACCCATGGAGTTATCCCATGAAAAGTAGTCATGGTCTCAGTGATAATCTCCTCAAGTTCCCTGCCCTTTGGATATGTGGCCTTCATAACTGCTATAGCCGCCCATCTGCTCCAATCTTGATCAGTTGCCTGGCCCTTGCAAGTGTTCTTATCTCAGCCTTTGCCTTGGCTTGTTCTTGCATACATGACTTTGTCCTTGCCTAGGTCCTGCTTGCCGTGTTGGGTTGCCCTTAGTTGCTTGTCCACCCCTGGACTAGGTTGACCCCCAGGGCCTTGCCCCACGCCCAATTGTAGGGCTGATAACTTTTGTTACACATGTCCCATCCACTATATGGACCATGCATGGGGCCCTTGCCTCCATGATGCACAACACCCGCACATAAGGTATGGGCATAGCCAGCACATTGTTGAAGAATCCCATACCTAATATCGTTGGATAGTCATCCATTGGCATTATAATCATATCTTTGGCACCTTGCCAGTTCCCTAGCTAGATGCTCACCCCCTGAGCAATGCCCTCAATCTCACGTGCTTGGGAATTAACTGCCTTGGTCATGCCCGTGCTTTTTGTGACCTCTAAGCCCAAGTGCTTTGTCTCCCTAGTTGAGACAAAGTTGTGAGTTACCCTTGTGTCGATCATGGCTTGGGTCTTCTCACCATTGATCAACACCTCCACATACATCAGCCTTGACCTGGCCGTAGTCTTGGCTGCCCCCTTATCCAGCTCCTCTAGCTTCTTAACGCTGCAAAGTAACTATAGTGACCCAATCTTGGTCTCTTCATGGCCATCTTCCTGCTCTCCCTCCTTGGCTATAAGGGAATTGAAGATCTACTTCTTGGGGAAATCCCTAATTATGTGTGCTCCATCACAGAGGAAGCATTTGAGTGGCTTCTTCTCTAGGCCCTTAACTTTGTCTCTCCAACTGCCACCCTTTTCATCCTTCTGGCCTTGAGAGAACTAGGCTTAAACGATTCTTCTTTGGCATAGGCCTTATCTCCCCCACCTTTACCCTGATTCGGTTTGGTGGGTTGGTCTTTGGTCTCCTTCTCGTACTCAGTTAGTTGCTTAGAAACGGCCATGGCACTAGCCAAGTCTTGAACGCCACAGCGCCTTAACTCTTGCTCTACCCATAGTTGTAGGCTTTCCATAAAGTGGAACAAGAAGTCCTTGTCTATCATGTCAGATACTTCCAACGTGAGTGTGGAGAATGCTTTCATGTAGTCCCTTAAGGTACCCATATGCTTGAGGTACCTAAGGTTCTTCCTAGCAAGGTACTCAACATTCTCCAGGTAGAATTGCTTCTTGATTTCCCTTTTAAAGTCTTCATAGGTATTTATGGTGCATGTGCCACATTCAACATCCATGCACTACCTACACCACCACAACATGGTAGTGTCTAGTAAGTACATAGCTGTAGTACATACCTTTGACCTCTCATCCTCAAGGCCAACTGCCTCAAAGTATTGCTCTATTTGCCATAGGAAGTTGTCTAGCTCGCGTGCATCTCGCGTTCCCTTGAATGGCTTAGGTTCAGGGGTCTTCTCCTTCACCACCTCATGAGCTAGGGCAGATAGTCCTCCAATAGCCATAGCCCTCTTCCATAAGAAATGATCTGCCTACATCTCCTCCATCTTGGCTTGATGCTCGACAATAGTCTGCTGTATGGCCTCCATTTAGCATTGATACTCATTGCGCAAGGCCTCAATGGCCCTAATAATAGTGCCATTCATGACCTCCTCGAACCTGGATAAATCTTTCTCAAAGAAGTCCAGGCCGCCATTAAGCTTCTTAATCTTCTCTTGGGCTTCACCAAGAGTCATCTCCACCTTGGTTAGCCGTTGGTCCAAGCTAGCAACCTTGTCCAAGGATGCCTCCCTGTTCCTATTACCATTCTTGCTCTTCTTTCTTGGCTCCATCTTGGTCACATTAATCCTTGTGGCATCCTCCACTTCAAAGGCAATGTCCTTTCCGTCCTTAGCCATGTGTTTAGTGTTGATGAGGCTCTGATACCACTCGTCACAGACTTAGATTCCTCTAGCGTTTCGTGCGGCACTTGGGCAATAGTCCGTCGCTCCACAAGTCAGCGAGGGATGGCAATTTCCCTTGTAAAATTGGGGCCCCATCCCGTTCGGGGTGGGTTTTCCCCAACCCTAAACAAGGACGAGGCGGGGACGAGGAAAATGATTTTTCCCCGAATCGGGTACGGGGCGGGGATGGATTTTGTATATAATTTCCCGAACCCGAAGGTAAATTAGTAAAATATCTCTAGGTTTAATATTGATATTTAAAATATCTCTAAGTTTCTCCTAAATCCTTAAAATACCAGGATTCCATAATTTTATTTTTGAATTATCCCTAAAGTATTATTATAATTCAATTCTAAAATATCCCAAAATTCCTATATCCTATGTATAAATTGTCCATAAATAGATAATTTTTAAGTAACCGCCTTGGAGCAGGGAAAATTCGGGGATTCCCTATCCTTGATGGGGAATGGGTGCCCCGCCCTGAACTTGTCCTGCCACCGGGGACGGGCGGGTACGGGGCAAGGTATCTTGACTTCGGGCAGGGACAGGGAAGGGGTGCCCTGCCCCAAACCTATCCCGTTGCCATTCCTAAAGTTAGCGTTCCCTATGTAGAGCACTCTCTTGGCTCTTGAGACCAAATAACTTACCAACTCGTCCCTTACACTAATATACACAGTTAGGTAAAAAAGGCACAAAGCATACAAGGAAAGAGATGGAGAAATCAGATACGACACTTGATTGTTTGGTTGAATGCAAATGAAGAAGGGGGTCCCCTTTTATAGGCACTTCCACTTCCTTAAAGGATTGCTCTAGAACTATGTATATTTGGCATCATTTAGAAGTACCTCTAGAACATTCTACCTTCTACACTCTTTTAGGAAATGTCTTCTTCATAAGATACAAGAACACTTTAGAGAAAGTCTAGATTGCTCCCAACCCCTCAATGTTGTTCCACACAAACCCGGATTGTTCCACAAGATTCTAAAGAGTTCCACTAATATGTAGACCCTTTTAGACGCATGAAAAACACTCCAGAACACCCTAAAAACATGCAGAATTGAATAGAAACCTCAATAAATATTTAGAAAACCTCTAACTCAACAACCCATTGTATCACCCCGTGACAATAAGGTGGAATGATGTAAGATTCACTAAAATCGAGTCCGCTCATGGATCCATAAATGCCGAATAACCATGATTTTTCTTTTCTTTTTTTCACTAGGCCCTGCATGATGGAGTGAAACTAGTTCTAGTTAATTACCAATAAGGCAATATCAAAGTCTGTCCATTCATTAATTGGCGTCATTGGCTATTTATTACCATTCAAATGGTCAAATTTGGGTATTTCGATAATTTTCTCACTTCCATTTCCATTTGCTAGGACACTATAGTCTGTCCGTTAAGGAGTTCACTTATTACTAAAAAGAAAAGGCAATAAGGGCATTTTCAGTTCAGCCACTTCATTTGTTATTATTTTTTATTGTTAGATTAGAAATAGAAAATGAGCTACACAAAAGGTGGGTAGCACCTCCCCACCATAGGTTAATTACTACGGTCTGAAATTTCTTCCAAACTCCCCTTTCAGCTCAAGGCTTATAGATGGCATCGGACGCAGCAGCAACAAAAGAAAATTTGACGAGAATTGCCGGTAATAATCCGGTAAGTTTTGGTAGTTGTCGGCCTTCCGATTTCAGACCCAACGACCCCATCCCCGTCGATTTCAGTTTCAACCGCCCCACCACCCCGCCCCCCACAAATTCAATTTTTAGCGAGCCACAAAAAAGAAACCCTTCCCCGCCCCCCACAACCTCACTTTTTAGCGAGCCACGAAAACGAGAGCCTTCTGAAAGAATTATAGATGTTGACACATTGAGACGGTCCATCGAAAAACGGCTCCGGGACAGATCTCCATCGTCTTCGAGATGTTGCATCTACAGAATTCCCACCGAACTTCGCAAGCATAATGACACTTGTTACGTGCCTAGTACAGTCTCAATCGGCCCTTTTCACCATGGCAAAGAGCACCTCCGAGATGGAACCACTTAAATTCTGGTATTTGAATCAGCTCCTCCATCGGCAGAAGACTCTTGGTCGAGACGGAACTCTGGGGCAACTCATAAATGCCATAGGGGTGTTGATGGTCGATGCTCAGGATTGTTACCAAGGACCAATTGGTGGTAGTGATGAACTTTTCATAGAAATTATGATAGTTGATGGCTGTTTCATTATCGAGTTGTTCCGTAAATTTGATGGAAAACTAGTTCAACGAGACGACACCGACCCCGTATTTAATTTGTCATTCATGATCACCCATCTGACTGGAGATTTGCTTTTGCTTGAGAACCAACTTCCTTGGTCTGTTCTCGAGATCTTGTTCTTGCTAACCATGGTTCCTGGAGAAGAAACCACTTCCCTTTCTGGTCTTGCCCTCCAATTCTTTGGGAGCATGATGCTCTTGTCAAAAAAACCTGTGGCACAGAGTAGTACACTCAAAAACATGCATTTACTTGGCTTCATACGCAACACTTTGATTTCCCAGTTTAAGTTCGAGGAAGGAGCAGATTACAGTGAATGGGATCCAATTCCATGTGCAACCAGTCTTGTAGACGCTGGAGTGAAGCTAAGGTTGGGCAATGCTGACAACATTTTAAACGTAAAGTTCGACAATGGTATATTGGAAATTCCGCCAGTGTTGATTCAGGAGAACGCAGAGTCGCTATTTCGAAACCTTATTGCTCTCGAGCAGTGCGACAAAATTTTTACCGATCAAATCATCACATCTTACGCTATACTCCTGGATTACCTCATCAACACCAGCAAGGATGTGGATTTTCTCCATCGGAAAGAAATTCTACAAAATGTCTTGGGCGCTCAAGACATTGCTTCTTTCTTCCACAAGCTTTTCAATGATACCTTTATCTGGAATTTCTATTATAAAGGTCTTTCACAACAAGTGAATGCATATTGTCGAAGGCGTTGGCCAAGGTGGAAAGTAAGCTTGAAGCGTAATTATCTCAACACTCCATGGGCCATCCTTTCGATCGTTGCTGCTGTTGTGCTGCTCATACTCACCTTCTTACAGACCTTGTATACCATCGTTAATTAATGGGCAAATTTCTTAAACTATCCTACTGTTTAGCTAATTAATTACCTCTTCCTCTCTCTCTCATGTAAAGTGTCAAAATAATTGGCCAGGTAGATGGGCTCATCTAGTTGGTCAAGCAAATCAGTTGGTTATTTGGTGATGCGAGTCTATGTGTGTGCATTGTAACCTTATGAATTTAGAATTCTCTTCTACGCACAAGAAGTATCATATTATAATTCTTAATAAAAGTTTGCATTTCGAATTTGGACAACAACGAATCTGTACAGGGCCTTTTAAAAACATTGTCATCTAACCAACTAACTGTTTCACTTAGCGTTTCTTTGGCATCGATGCCATTGTTCCAGAAAACGGTGATACATTAGTGTTACGTTGGAAAAATCGGCGTTTTAGGAAACATTTGTTTTTTTGGAACTGTTTTTTCATAAAAAACGGTGTTCTAAGCCATACCTTAGAAATAAAGGTGTGGTTTGGAGCAACTGGAGTTTGGTGTTTTCGCATATAGTAGCTCATTGCTATCAACAAGGACTTAATGTGGCAGTGACATGGACCTCCTATGATAGGTATCAGTGCTGAAAAATGACATGGAGCACTGGTACCAAACAGAAAGTGTTGCTGCTGCTGCTCCAGGAAACATACTACTTGACAGCAACACTTCCAAATAGAAAAAAAAAACACCATTTTCTTAGAAAACAGTGTTTCTAATCCACAAATCAGCAGTATTGTTTTCTGAGAAAACAGAAAGTGTTGCTGAGAAAACAGTGCTGTATCTGCAGAATTAATGCCAAACATATACTTAATTGATGGCAGCATGCATCAAGCAATGAATCCACTCTTACCCGACGTTTAAATTAACAGAGGTGCTTTAATTTCCAATCACAAAAGAACAAGACAGAACAACTTTAATTCCCTGTTTTGTTAAAAAAGGGATTATAGGGAGTTACCATGTATTTTTCGGGTAGTTGAATTTAAAAGATCAGTTTGGAAAGAGTGAAAAATACAAATTTATTTAAGGCAAAACCTTGTATATAGTCTAAACCTTGTATATATTTGTAATTACACTCTTCCCAAATTGAGCCGAACCTTGTATATAGTCTACACTCAACTTTTATTTGTGAGGTGAGGGTGGATTCGAGTCGGGATAAGCCGAATACTTAGTTATTTGAACTCAGCTCGTTGAAATAGTGTTAGGCACGAGTTTGATTCGAGTTAGAGATTTGAGTTCAAGATCGGCTCAATTCAAAGCTTACAAGTTAGAATTCGGCTGGCTCAAGTTTGATTGCAAGCCAAGTTTTTTTCTAAAAAATAAAAATTATACATATAAAAATATTTTTCTATTTTACATACAAAAAATTAAGAATTAAAAAACTGTTTATTGTTATACATAAAAAATAAAAATATTATTATATATAATAAAAAATATTTATTATATATATTTATATATATATATATTTATATATATATATATGTATATATGTCTATATATAATAAAAGATTGTTTATTTATTAATCTAGACTCGATTAAGCTCAAGAACCTCACGAGCTGAATTTCATTGGACTCAAGCTCGACTCGATTAACAAATGAACTTATATATCAAGCTCGAACTCATTTCGAAGCTCTATTTAAATTCAACTGAACCAGCTTGAATAGTTCGGCTCGTGGCCACCCCTAAGTGTGACATACCTTTAGTAAACAATTCATAATAATTGAAAAGAGAAAAAATAAAGAAAAAAATCATGGTAGAGACCCTTCTCTTCCAATCTCCCTCCACTTACACAAGTAAACTTCTCTCTTTCCCGGTCTAGAGCCTAGCTTACACAGGTGACCAGATCAGTGACACCACCAATTTGGAATCTGTTCCTCACACATGCCTCACAGGCACATCCCCATGTATCCGAAACATCTCCCATAAATAATAACGTACCTCAGATGTGAGGTACGTTAAGTGAGGAGCAGATCGGGTCTTGACACCACCTACCCATGGATTTTCAGGTTTGATTTTTCTTTTAAAACCTACAAACCTAAGTTTTCTTTATTTCTATATACAGACATACTCAACTGGTAAACAAGACATTAGTTTGAAACCACTAATCAGCCCAGAATTTTTTTTTCTCTTTGTTTCTATATATGGGCCAAGGGGTGCTTAGCTCATCAAGGATACCTTTTTTTTCTGGCAAAATGAAGAAATCACCAATAAAAGTATACATAATCAGCCCCCTTATTCCAGGTTTAGTGTTGGCCTCTGTCATCTGGGTAACAATCAGGTCGTTCTCAAATAGAGAGAGAGAGAGAGTGATTCTTTGCTGGTTTAGTGTTGTCCTCTGTTTTCTGGGTGACAATCAGCTCATCACTACGGCAAGAGTATCTTTTTTAAGGTGATAATTATCATTTAATTAAAATCTTGATGCATGGCTACGTTCTTAGTCATAGAATTAGAGATGCAATTAACAGTTTGCCATCAGGGGTTAGAGAGGGTTTAGGGGGTGGGGGATGGACTACCCCCCTCAAAAAAAAAAAAAAAAGGAACTGTTTATGAATATATAGGAAGCTACCAAAAGATAACTGTTCATAAGTAGGAAATTATTATCCATGACAAAAGAAAAGGATTATCCAACCTCATGTTCTTGCTTCGGGTTTCATGCACCATTGATGATGTCAGTTGTATTTGGACAGCCGAAAATCTTTTAATTAAAAGGTCCATACGAAATGCTAATTAAAGATAAGATCGTTGAAAAAAGAAGCTCTAATAATGCTGGTTCTGGCTTTGGCTTATGTCATTTCATTAACTGTGCATAAATCCCAACACAAGAACAAGAAATTTGACTTCTAAGAAGCTTACACCACAAGTAATTCTTTTAATATCAACTTTTCTCTAATATATAAACTTTTTTTCAAAATAACTTTTTAATTAATCTATCAATCAACCCGCCCTGATGTGTTTGCCATGATCCTAGCAACTATGGTTAAAGTTGTTGGATTGGGGAAGTAAAGTGGTAAAGCATTGATGGCTAAAGGATTCAGTCCATTATCTCTTAAATATCCTTAATATATTTTAAGTATTCTCTTTCCTTTTCCTCCCCAAATCTTTTAATTTATTTTTGACGCCCAAAGAAGCCATTATTGGCGCACTGGGTAAGGAAGTCCACCTGGGGTTAGAATAAAGGAATAGATGTCAATATCACAACAGCCTGATTGAGAAAATGATAACCTAAGTGGTTCCAATATCAGTAAAACCCTAAGAATACACATATCTAGAATGATATACATAGGCGGCTAAAATTGTTTGATATTGCTACTTTCCAACCCTGAGATTGAAAGGGTCCATTTGTTAGTCAATATCCCTTGACCTTTTTGATTTTCTTTATTACTTCTATAAAAATGAAAAAAAAAAATTAAATGCGGAGATGGATGCAGTTGGATCCTTTTATCAGAAATGCTGCTTAGATTCACATAGCTTATTACAAACTCCATAACCAATATAGTGTTGGTCCCAAACTATGTTGCTGCTGCTTTGTTCTCTAGTATTTCCTCCCTTGATCCTAGTTCTCTTACTTAAAATCCGTGCAAGTACAAGAAATGGGGTTCTTCCACCTGGTCCCCCAAGGTTCCCCATCATTGGAAACTTGCACCAACTCAGCAATTCCACTCTTCATTGCACCCTGCAACAACTATCAAGAAGATATGGTCCGCTGGTGTATTTGCAGCTGGGTGGAGTACCAGCAGTGGTGGTTTCTTCAGCAGAAATGGCCAAGGAGATCTTAAAAATTCTTGACCTTGAGTCCTCTGGTAGGCCTTTTCATGCTAATGTGTACAAAGTAACTTACAAGAAATCAGACATGGTTTTTTCATCCTATGGTGAGTACTGGAGAGAGAGAAGGAAGATTTGCATTATTGCTCTCTTCTGCACCAAGAGCGTGCAATCCTTTCGATTCATAAGGGAGGATGAGATTTCCATATTGCTTAAGTCAATTTCCAAATTTGCTTCTGCTTCAAATCCAGTTAATCTGAGTGAAATGATATTTTCTACTGCAAACAACATAATTTGTAGGATTGCTTTCGGTAAGAGTTTTCCTCATGAATCAAGTGAAGGAAGTGCTTTCTATGAAATGCTCGATGAGCGTCATGCTTTGGCAGGTAGATTTGCCTTTGCTAATTATTTTCCATCTGTGGGTTGGATGCTTGATGCTCTGACTGGATTAAATGCAAAGCTTGAGAGAGACTTCCAACGATTTGACTCATTCCACAAACAAATCATCGAAGATCACCTTGATCCCAAGAGGACAAAGCCTGAGAAAGAAGATATTGTCGATACTCTGCTTCGGATGCAAAAGGATAAAACAAGCACAATTGACTTCACTCTAGACACTATCAAGGCAATTCTCATGGTAATTTTCTTTTTTCACAGTCCAAAATTTTTATATTTGGCTACTTTTGCTCCTAGATCTATCAGGATAAGTAGCTAATTAATTATCATTGACGGAGGGAATTTGCATTTGTAACTGTTTTGACTCACCTACAGGAGCTACGCAAATCAGTTTGGAAGTTTGGGACAAAACCATTTTGGGGATGTTTTCAAACTCATAACTTGCAAAAGTTTCATGGACATCATATATAGTTTATTTTTTCTTAGAAACCTTGATCTCTGGTAGACTTTGATATAGCCAAATTTCAATAATTTAAAGACTCCTGACATTGAGTTTGATTCGCCAAGGTAGTACAAAGACTCCACCACTAATTAAATGGCATCCTAAAAGAGCTCCACATTGTCTGTGATTTGTTATGGTATGTGAAGTTTAGGCGAGTATCCTTTGCTTTTGAAGTTTATCCTCTGTTTGTTTGTAGTGCAAATCTGAACTAGATACAAATTTAACTCCCAGTTCAGTTTTGCATCTATTTGTTTGTGAATTGTGACTATGATTGGCATATGTACATAGTACAAAGTTTTTACTTTTATACTTGTTGGCTGTGCAAATTCTGCATCTAAAAAACTGATGCAAAATTTGCATAATCTTCTCTCTCTCACACAAACTGGCGGGGATCACATTATTTAACTTCCAATTTTACTTTTCACAAACAAATAAGGCAAAGTCAAATCCGAAAAAAAAAAACAAGTAAACCAGAATTTACACTCAGCCCATTTGCATTCCCCTTCATTTAGCAAGTGCAAATGACTTACCCACTGCAAATAAACAGAGCCTAGGTTAGTTGTCACATGGCAAAAAAAGAAAAAAACTTTGCTTGTGAAGTTGTGAAGCTTAAAGAACCATTGATATAGCAAGGAGAAAAACCAAATAGAATATAAGTTTTATGAATTAGGAAACCTAAGCATTTAATTCAATGCAGGATATTTTGATCGCTGGAGCAGACACTACTACATCAACCTTGGTCTGGGCGATGACACTACTAGCTAAGAATCCTACAGTGATGAAGAAAGCACAGAACGAAGTAAGAAGCCTCATAGGAAATAAAGGAAAGATAACAGAGGACGATCTTCACCAATTCCATTACCTCAAGTGTGTCATAAAAGAGACGCTAAGACTACAACCTCCAGCTCCATTATTGGTTCCGCGAGAAACCATGAAACACTGCATAATTGATGGCTACCACATTTATCCCAAGACCCAGCTCTTGGTGAATGCATGGACTATTGGAAGGGATCCTGAATATTGGGAGAACCCAGAAGAATTCATACCAGAAAGGTTCACCAAAAGCTCTATCGATTTCAGAGGACAACACTTCGAGTTTATACCATTTGGGTCCGGTCGAAGAATTTGTCCAGGAATGCAACTTGGAGTGGTGATTGTGGAGCTTATACTTGCAAATCTTCTCTATTCATTTAACTGGGAACTGCCTGAGGGGATCAAGGAAGAAGATATTGACATGGAGGCGTTATTCGCTATTATAATGCACAAGAAAAATAATCTTCACCTTGTGGCAACAAAGTGTAATGATCATCACTAGTGATCATTCATTAGTTGTTGTTTATGATGGTGCTGCAGATCCATACATGGATCTATGATCTCTATCACAATAATGAAACAGAAAGTAAAGGTATTCAAGAATCAATATATGGAGCCCATATGTAGGATGAGTACATTAGTCCACTCCCATTTGACTGCAATTGGTGTTTTATGTAATAACTAAAAAAAGAGAGACTTGATGAGTACATTAGTGAGCATAACATATGTAATAATAATAATAATAATCATCATCATCAAATGAAGTTTATTAGAGGTATGTCTTAGATCTATTGTTCTTGCCTTGAGATTCATGCATCGATCATTTGATGGATCTTTAAGTGGAGATTAAATATCTTTCTTCTGTTTAGTTTTTATTTTCTTCTATTATGACATTACAGATTTAAAACTTCTATACAAAATTGCAAAGATAATAATAATGCAAAGATCAGATGGTTGAGGAAAGATTTTATCATTAATTCTAGTTTTTTATGTATATATGACTGGTGTTAGAGCATGTGTTATTCATGTTTGTAATTAAGTATTAACCATATATATATATATATATTATTTGTATTTAACTTTTATGTCAACAAAACTCAAAGCAAGTATCTGCCCAATATGGTACAAGTGTGAGAGCACTAGTGTGACATTAACTATGTTCCATTGTATATAGTAATGTGTATTTGGATGTAACTTAATTTTATGGTGAAACCAAGGTAAATATTCATTTTACACAGTACTAGTACTACTATTAGGATATATACTTGTACAAATAAAGGTAAAGATATAAGTTTATAATATGTTATCAAATTTAAGTTTTTATGACCACCAAAATCAAGACAAGTATCCACCTTATAATAATATAGATGTATATACATAGATATTTCCATAGGAGCAAGGTTCAAAGTATTGATACGATACATGTATTGGCAGTATTATATCGGTACTTAGAAACGGCCAAAACTCTTTTTTTTTTATTTTATTTTGTTTCAAATTTTGATTTTTTAGAAGTTAAAAAACATATTTTTCCTTATTAAAAAAAGTTGGGGTTTCGAAACACCTGGAAATAGGCATTTTAGAGCGTATCTTTTATAAAAGATACGATACGATACAATTGATACGGGACATATCGTATCGATACTTTAAACCATGTATAGGAGAGCCCATCCACTAGACTAAAACCCACGATATAAGAACAAAAGATTCTAAAACGATTTAGTTCCCCTGCTTCTTTTAGCAGTGTTCTCAACTTGTCTTGTCAATTGAGTCAATCCGATCATTCAACCTCTCACTGTGTTGGGATCTCCTACCCACAAGAACCCTATTCACACCTATATCCACACCTCACTACAACTGTACATTGAGAACATCTCTTTACCATTGATGGCGAGATGTTCCCAATGTACAGCTGTAATGTCATGTGAGCAAGAGATCTGAATTCCCTTTCACCCAGTCGTTATATTATTCCAGCTGTTAACCCCCTACCCGTGTTGAATATGAAACCATTAACCCAGTCAAGAGGCCCGATGACTTTGACGGTTGAACGATCAACCAAGTTGATCAAGACACCAGGTTATATCTAGGTTAATAATTAACTTGTGACACTAATGTGAATGGGAAAGCAGCTCTAATGCCAAATTAAGGCTGTCAACTTGGCTTGGCTTTAGGTCTGATTTAAAAAAAAAAATGGTTGGCTTCAATACATGGTCATCTATGCTCATATATATAGATTAAGGCTAGTAATTAGGCAATGTGAGACAACACTCAATTGCCAAATTAATTATTAGAATTGAAGCCTTGTCTTCATTTATATATAAGAATAGACAACTCTAATGCCTTTTGTTGGCATTGCAATTCCATTCGCATTAATGCAAAAGAATGGGAATACAAATAAGTTGAGTCCAAATTTTGGTTTCATTTGGTAAAAGGTTTCACTTTTTTCTGTTTACCTCAAGTGAAATAAAATAAAATCCAAAGCAGAAATGAACCAAAATTTATGGTTTCTCATTAACACTCCCATGCATTTGTATCATTGCAAATAAATATGCACCACAAACTAACATAACCTTGATGTGTTTGGTTTCAATGCAAATAAATTTGCACTGATGCAAAACTATGGCAGTGCAAAAAATGATTTGAGTGTAAATTTTGACCTATTTTTCAGTCAAATTTTAGATTTTTTTTAATTGCTGTACAAATGAAGCAAATTAAGACACAAAGCAGACTAAAATAAAACCCAAAACAAAATTAAACAAGAATTTACATTTTTCTCATTTGCACTATCATACATTTATATTAGAACAAATAAAATTGCACTGCAACCAAACGCAGCATTAGAACAAGCTATTCTCAGTTACATGAGTTGACTCACTTCACATGACTCATGAACTAATGTATATTTATAAAATATTTAATATAAAATAAAATAGAGCACATTTGTACATGTATTACATATATAATATATAAAATAAATATTATAAAATATTTAATATAAAATAAAATATTTTATATTAAATATTTTATAATATTTAAAATAAAATATTTAATATAATATTTTATATTAAATATTTATAAAGTATTTAAAATAAAATAAAATAGAGCACATTTGTACATGTATTACATATATAATATATAAAATAAATATTATATATTAAACATATACTTTTTTAGGTAAAAAGATAATTCATTCAAAGGGCCAGCAAAAGGCACCAAAAGAACAACAAAACACAAAGGGACAACAACAGCTGAACAAACAAAAACAAGAAAAAAAAATAAAAGAAAGACAAAAAAACCAAATATAATCTTTTTATTTATATATGCATTTGGGCTAGATCACGCTAAGAATAACCTCTATGACCGGGTCTACTTGACGGAGATAGCCACCATAAGAAGTTATCTTTATCACATTTTCACAACATACATGATCTAAAATCTTGGCTGTGGAATTTGACAAATTCTCTATCCTATATATATAGTATGAAAATTTTCAACCCTATTATCTTACCATTTTTTTCTTTTTCTATTATATATTACACATTACAAGAAAATTAAGAGGTGAAGATAGAGAAGGGTGCACATGAAGTCCATTGCTGGACTCACATCAATATCCCTATCTATCTATACTTAATTAAAGTCATGTTTTCTAGATGGTGTGACTAAAGGTGTAAATCGGGCCGGGCCGCGGGTAGTTTGGCACGGAGGTTCGTGCCATACTGGGTTGGGGGTTTGAGGCCCATGGATGGGCACGGTACGGCACGACAACTCGTGTTGTGTTGTTCGCGACTTGCATGTTGGCATAGCCCAGCCTACAGCATGGCCTGTCATGAGCCATCACGACATGGCCCACGGGGCCTGTAGCGGGCCACGCTCGGCCCGCCTACAATATAGTCGTTGCCCCCCCAAAGGAGGCCAACGGCTAGTTTTAGCTTTTTGGGGGGATTTTTACAAAAATACCTCATCAACAGCTATAAACAACCATATTACTAGGTATTTGTGTATTTTGCTTATGGGGGTTGAGAAAATGATATAAATGCCCCCCAACACTTATATAACTAGTTTAGGGGGGATTTTTGGGTAAAGTTATAAGTAACTTTACAATGACCAAAATACCCCTCCCAACAACTAAATAACTAGTTTTTTTTTTTGTATTTTGGGTAATTGAATTATGCTCAATTCCTCTAAATAGCACTATCTTCCATCATTCTCATCACACCAATTCAATAATTCTCTTAATCTCTTATCTTCTCTCTCTCTCTCTCTCTCTCTCATACTTAGACCTGTTCATGGGCCGGGTGGCCCGACGGGCCGGCCTAGCCTGGCTCAGCCCTCGGATGGGCTTGAACATGTTTATAGGCCCACGGGCTTAAACTCGGGCCAAAAATCCTGGCCCACAATAAATTCAAGCCGAGCTCGGGTTTTGTCAAAATAGCCCGGCCCGAGCCTGGCCCAACCCGACCTAAAATTAGACTTAAAATGGGTTATGTGATTATGTCCATTTGAATAAATTTTTTGATTTAAGAATGTAAAACTGTGTTTTAAAACGTAAAAGAAAGGGAAAAAAACCATCTTGTAGGCCCATTGTTCATTTAAATAGGAAAAAAAAACATATGAATTTTTAATTCTAATTTGAATAGGGAAAATTGTAATTTTTTTTATTAGGTCGGGCTTCGGGCTCGGGCTCGGGCTTCGGGCTTTTTATCATGGTCGGGCTCGGGCCTAGCGTATTTCCATTAATGATGAGTAAAAGCCCGGCCCGAGCCCAGCCCGGCCCGACCCATGAACAGGTCTACTCATACTCATACATTTTCAATTCTCTACAATATGAGTAATTCTAATTAGTTGATTGTCTAATTCTACATTCTCCAAGTCTCAAGTCTCAACTTTATTGAAGTTTCGACTTTCAACAAGAAAAAGGCTGGCTCAACCAGCTCGAGTATTTCAATTTGGGAGGCTTGGACGTTGAAAGGCTTCAACTGTTGAAATCAAGTTGGGATTTTGAACCGACAATCCGGGTAAGTCGAATTAGATTAATTTTTATCTTTTTAGAATTAAAAAATAGTCGGTTCTTTTGAAAACTGATTCCCAACATGTTCATCATTGACGATATTCAATCGCATCATGGTAGTGTTAGCACTGATGCGATTGATGTCGATGGAAGTGGAACTTTTAGTGCCGATACTGATACTAGGTGAAAAAGGAGAGTTTCTAAGCTGAGTAGCCCGATTTAGAAAATTTTCAAAGTAGAGGATATTGAGGGGAAGGGAAAAAGGGCCATTTACCAAACACGGCACGACCTGTAGCCCGATTTAGCACAGCCCACGGCACGGCCTGTAACCCAACATGGCCCGTAATGGCCTGCAGGCCAACATGGCATGGCCCGCCTTTAGCATGGGCCACCCACGGGCCATGCCGTGCCGGCCTGTCACAGCCCACTTTACACTTTTAGGTGTGATAGATTGATATTGATTGGTGCAGAAACACAGATGAAGTGAGTTGGACCTTACCACAAAGAGCCTACAGTAAACGGGTTTGATCCCACACTTTTGAATTCATTCGTCAAAGGGAAGCTGAGTAACCATGTCAAAGCTTGGCTACCCTAATCAAGTGAAAGTTATCTCCATAGAGAGCCTGGTATAGGGTAGGCACCCTCTACAGCACGTTGAGTGGTATGTATAAAAAAATTTCTAAAGAGAAAGAAGGAGATTTAACTTTTATTACATTGTTATCGTTATCTTGAAGGGAATATCAAGTAAAATCTTCTTGCTGTCTTTATCAGTCCTTATTATCAATGAGATAATAACAAAATCACAAAGCAAGCCGTGAGTTATGATGGAAAGCTACTTTTTGACTATGGGATTGGGAGGGTCCCTTGGGCTTCTCTTAGTGATCAGAGATATATATATATATATATATATATATTTTTGTCCAATTTTTGATGATGTAAAGCTAATATCAATATGTATAAAACAGACTTTGCTCGTGTAGATGCCGCTTATTACTTTGTTTTCTTCTATTGCCTTTCTGTTCTTATTTCATTTACCGAAAGCTACAATTTTCATGTAAGTTCAAGAAAAGCTCTTTTTCACCAGGCTCGCCTAAAATTTCCCTCATTCAGAAACAGTAAGTTGAGGGAAAGTTCTGAAAATTTTGACAGAATTTGTTAAGGACTTTCCCTCGATTTCTATTTCTTTCATTTATTTTTTCAAACCAAAACAACTTAAGAGATATGGCCCTCCCATATCTTTCCAACGGAGAACAGTCCAGTATTGGTGGCTTCTTCCCAAAAATGGCAAAAGTGGTCTTAAAATCTTAGATCATGAATTCTGATAGACCAACTCCATGTTAATTTGAACAAGGGCAACCTTCTTCTCATTGATTTTAATTAAAATCAGGATTCAAATTAAAACATTGCAATGTATTAATACATATACTACGATATGAATTGATTTTCAGGGTTACTAAAGCATTGCTTACTTAAAAGAAACAATATAATTTCGGTAAACATATGCATCGATACTATGTGTATTTTCCGCATTTCTCTATTAAAAGAGCACTCCTAATGTATTAATTTGAACTCAAGTTACTATTATACACAAACCTTAAATACAATATTCAACCACTAAACCATCTTATATCTTTTGGTTTACAAGTGAAATATAATAACTTTTATTTTGTGCCCACATGCAATCCAACAAATACATATGTTTATGTTCAACAGTTGCAACTAAAATTTAAAGAGAATAATATTCGAAATTAATATTTTATAAATTAATAGAATAAATAATCTATTTTTTAATCTCAAAATATTTATAATATAATAATTATTTTAATACTTAAAATTTATAAATTTACACATGATAAGCATCTAAAAATTTATATATATTTTTATAAATTATTAATTATTATTTTAGTTTATATTAAATAACAACATATTAATTGTTCATAAAAATAAAAACATTGTTTGCAAAATATTAAAGAATATAATATTAAATTAAATCTATCAAATCCACTAATCTACATTTATATCAAAAAATGGTTTTTCTTTCGAAAGGATTATAAAAATAAAATACTAATAATGATATAATTATTTTAGTAATTAAGAATTACGAATTTCCATATGATATGTATCTTAGAAATTTTAAAAATTTTGATAACATAGTTATTGTTTACAAAAATAAAATGTTATTCACAAAACATTTGGGGATTTAATATTTAGTTGATCTTTTTTGTTTATGTTAAAAAGTAACATAGTAAAATAAAAAGTAGTTGCATATCTTTTATGCCTTAATTGGACTAACAAAATAATGGCTTTGTATGTGTGTTAATTTGTAGAAATTTATAAAATATGTCTTAAACTCTTGATTAATGCGTTATCAATAAAATTGCATGACATCTTTGCATACTGTTATATTAATTATAATATATTTCTATATATATCATTAAACTATACATTTCCTACATATTTGTACATTATTTGTCACTATTTTGACCCTAAATTTAATCTTATTAATTATGTGGTTTGTATGTATTTCCTTGGCATATTCATATTTGAATTGTCTATTAGTAATACTTTGCTCCTTGCTTTAAACCTTGGTTTAAATTTAAAAAGAGGATAATGATTAATTTGCAAAGCATCCCTTGGCATCCCTTCAAATATGTATTTCATATTTCAATTGTCAATTTGCAAAGCATCCTAAAGGATAATGATTAATGTGAGAGGAGATTGGGGAACGCCTTAAAAATTAATAACCTCTTTCTAAGTACCATGAATTAATGTTGTTGACCCAAAAGTCAAGATGATCACTTGGCATCCCTTCAAATAAGAGGCATGGGATCAAACCTAATGCTCAAATTGAAAAGAGTTCAAATACGAATATATACAATACAAATACATATAAAATAATATTAAGTATAAGGTTTTATACTCTACATATTTGTATTTATATTCCTTTCCAAACTGAGCCTATGGAACTAAAGACTCTCAATGGACCTCACATGCACCCTGCACTGCACCACCTCTAATTCCCCTTTTATGTATAGTATGTAGGAAAAAAAATACAAGTATACAACGAATAACTACTCTACCAGTAATATTGGATAAAGAAGATCTGATCATACTAGCTCCATTTTGTTGTCGATCAGTTCATCCTCCAGTGAGTAAATACCAATACAACAACAAGAATATTGAATAATAAATGACTTAAACCACAAGTAACCTTGTATAGTATTAATCTCTTATAAAAATTGGTCTGAATTGATCCACCAGCTAATTCGATCTTCTGTGTTCAATTTGATCCTACTGGGTTTAAAAGATGTTGAATTGGGGGAATGACCCTTGATGGTTTCTAAATTCCAATATCCTTTATTATTTTAGTAATCTCCTTCCTTTTCTTCTCCAATTCCAATTATTTTATACAAAGAAGCATGCGTGTTAGGAAAAAAAGTCTTAAGAGTTGTTAGAAAAGCAAAGCCAAAGATCTAGTAGGCACACTAAGCAGTCAATAAATATTTTAACAGTTGTCTTAGAAATTTGTTTTTAATCTTTTCAAAATAGGCTAGGAGTATTTAAGGCTTCATTTGAAAAGAATATAAATACAATTCGGTGCAAATACAAATATGTCTGATTGATAAAATGTAAAATTGGCTAGGAGTATTTAAGGCTTCATTCTCACCAAATGTCTTGTAAAACTAAATTAAAGTGTATAAATACATCAAACTAACATTTGCATTCTTCCCAAATGGAGCCTGAGCAACAGTTGTCAAAAAGTTTTTTGAGTGCTTATTTAGCATGTATTTGGAACAGTGGGTGTTTGTTGAAATAAACGTTGTCGCATAAACATCATTTCAGCATTTTCTCAGTATGTGCAACCCATATGTATAGAGACTTACAAAAGCAGGCCTTGATTTATGTGCATATCTACTATTGAAGGAAGTTTTATTTTAACGCTTCTCTAACGAATAAACATTTACTCATTGTTTTACTAATATAATGTCTAATGGTGCCTAATGATACCTAAGTATCAATAAACAAATCCATTATTGTTTTTCTCAATTTTACAAACAAATCAAATACAAGCATTTAATAAATAAACTTCTATAATTTCAAACACATACGCTCACCGTGTATTCATATCTAATCCAGACTGATGAATGAGAGCCAAGGGTACCTACTTAAGTGGGGCACCCAGGATAATCCGGATCTGGTTTGGAACACAATGATAGGCACACTCCATGAAACACTGAGTAAACACGCAATTAGTTTTCTAACACATGTCCTTCTGAAGTGAGACGGGAAGTATTTGAAAGACAGGTGTCAATGTCACTGAGCTCACAAATATCATTTGGAAACAACTAATTTAATAGCTTTCCATATCACAACACCCTTTGATGTATTAACCCAACTGGTTAGAACAGTGGTGAGACACTATTAGAGCGAGTGAATGACAACTGATTCCAATGGGCGAATTGTCCTCTAGGAAGTAGCGGGAATTGTTTTTTGGGAGAATGACCGATAAGTTAATGTCAGAATTTGGGGCGAATATGGATACATATGGGAATCAAAATCTGCATTCAATCTATCCGTACTTCTCTGTTTTTCTTATTAGGTTAAAACAAAACTTCATTCAAACATTAGGTTGTATCAAGGTTCCAGGAATGGAAATACCATCAGGATTCATCTGGAAAGAAGTCTAGTCAAGCGAATTAAAATAACATAAATGATCCGGTATGGCTGTATCCTTCGGCCTTTTCTCTTGAATAAACGAAAAATTCTAAAGGGTTAGTTGGGTGAAGTGAATCAACTTGGCATAAAGCCCCATTCAGACTCACATTACTGATTACAACTTTTCAGACTACTCATAGTCTCAACTCTCAAATCTCAACTCAAATCATGTTTTTATTGCTTTCTTCTCTTGCCCTTCTTACTCTCTTAATTCTATTTCTTATATCTAAAAGCCACAAATTTCATGGAAGTTCAAGAAGCAGGCTTCTTCCACCAGGTCCCTCTGGGTTACCCCTCATCGGAAACTTACACCAACTGGGTAAGTCACCTCTTCATTGCACCCTTCATCAACTCTCCAGAAGATATGGTCCCCTTATGTACTTGCAGCTAGGTTGTGTACCAGCAGTGGTGGTTTCTTCAGCAGGAATGGCCAAAGAGATCTTCAAAACTCATGATCTTGAATCCTCCGGTAGGCCGCTCCCCGTTACTATACAAAAGGAAACTTACAATAGATTAGACCTGGTTTTCTCACCCTATGGTGAATACTGGAGAGAGGTAAGGAAGATTTGCATTATTATTCTCTTCTGCACCAAGAGTGTACAATCCTTTCGGTTCATAAGGGAGGATGAGATTTCCATATTGATTCAGTCCATCTCCAAATCTGCTGCTACTTCAAATCCAATTAATCTGAGTGAAATGATATTTTCTACTGCAAACAGCATAATTTGTAGGATGGCATTCAGCAAGAGTTTCCATCGTGGAGCAAGTGAAACAAGTAGTTTTTATGAAATGCTCGATGAGCGCCATGCTTTAATTCGTAGCTTTGCCTTTGCTAACTATTTTCCATATGTGGGTTGGATGCTGGATTCTCTCACTGGATTAAATACAAGGCTTGAGAGGAACTTCCAACAATTTGAATCATTCTACAGACAAACCATTGAAGGGCACCTTGATCTTAAGAGGCAAAACCCTGAGAAAGAAGATATCATTGATACTTTGCTTCGAATGCAAAAGGATAAATCAAGTGCAATTGACTTCACTCTAGATCATATCAAGGCAATTGTCACGGTACTTTTTCCATAATCCTCAGTTTATTTTGGACTACTTTTGTTCCATCCATAGAGTGATTAATTAATTATAATTGTGTGTGAAAAATTGGATTTGGTGCTCACAAAATTGTGTTCACACCATTCTCGCAGCTCTTTAACAGCCATGCATTGGGAACATCTCCCATGAATTAAAACCTAAAAGTATGGAGATATTCCTAATGCGCGACAGAAAAGTGCTGTGAGCACAATTGCATTCTTCTTGCCATGTGATGCTTTAGGTTAATATCATCTTGCCATGTGGCAAAAGAAAACCCTTCGTTTATTGAATTATTGATGTTTCATAACTACTATTAATTATAAGGTAAAAGCCCAATGAGCAGTGTGCTATATATCTTTTATGAACTAGGACAATTAAGTATTAATTCATTGCAGGATATTTTGATTGCTGGAGTGGACACAACTACAGCAACCTTGGTCTGGGCTCTTACTCTACTAGCCAAAAATCCAAAAGTGATGAAGAAAGCACAGAACGAAGTTAGAAGCCTGAC